AAATACATCAAAGACATGTTTTTAAGTTGTATTTTCTATGGTACCGTACATCACAAATTAGATCTATATGGTTGCCAAAAATAGCTGATGAAAGATCATGAGATTCGTTGGCGCTTCATTTTGACTATAATGTTGGTGATGATGAAGAATTTTGTGTAATTTCCGGCCACCTAGTGATGGCCATCTAGGCCATCTAGTGATAAAGAAAGTGTTTCTTTATTTTTTTTCTATGGTACATCACTCATAATAATTAGATCTCTGTGGTTGTGTAACTCCGTCTCCGTGTAACAACGGCATTAAAATACGTCCTAGGCCGCTAAAAACACCACACCCCCATCAGCGTCTTGGGGCCCCAAAAGGGCCCCTGCCCAGGGGCCTCCGGCCTCCTCCGGCTCCGTCGTACGACGCCACGACGAGGTCATCCTCCACCCGTCGTACGCCACCATGACGAGGTAGTCGTCTTCAAACCAAAAATATTGATTTTAGATTATAGTTATTTTGATGCCAATACCTAGCACTGTGGTGTAAAAGTACAATTTGAACCCCACCAGAGAAGTTTGTCCTAAGGTCCCCAAACAACGGGGGCCCCGGTTCACTGAACCTCACGAAGTTACTGTATGTCTTTATAATTGATTATTTTAACTTTATTTTTAACTACAATGTGCAGCATATATAAAGATAAAATACTTTCAATCCAGATTTTTTGAAAATATGCATCGCTTTATTAGATTTTTAAAGGGGACGGTGCCCTTAAAGAGCGGGACCCCCGGAAATCGGCGGCCCCGGTTTAATGAACCGCTTGAACTGCGGTAGTTTAAACATTTTATAACCAATAACTGTAGGTTTATGACATTAAAGAATGCTGATATATTGAATATTCTTTCATAGTGACAATAAAAGTTAAAATAATATTTAACTTCAAATTTGCAAAATTCAAACCTAAAATGGCCGCCATTATAATTATATTTTTAGCATAGACCTATATTTAATTTATGCAATTAATGATTTAATGAAGTCCATAAAATCTAGCATTTAAATTGGAACAAATTGCAAACAATAATTTTAATTATTAATAGAAAAAAATACACAAATGCAGGGTGGGTAAAATCCAGAAATTACACCTTAGTTAATATGCAAATTAGGGATGAGATACAGTCCTGACAACCACTGGTCGTACAGAATTACTTCCTTTTTTAAATACACATTTCTATTTGCTTTATTATTATTAATTAACATTTTCTCCAAGAGTGACCGTAAAGGTGATATTTGAGCTATGACTTTATTTTGCAGGATTTCCAAAACAATAAAATTCTAGAAATCACCTTAGTTTACATGAAAATTAGCTTAAATATGCAAATTGGAGATGGTTTTCAAATTATTCAAAACATACATATATGTATCTCCCTCATTGTAACAATTGCTCAATGACCGAAATGCCATGTTTTACCTTTGACTCTACTACCACTATTATTCTTAATTCAAATTATTAAACTCTACTGGTGTTAATTGAAGGTGATAATAAATATTAGAGAAAACGAGAGTTACTTTAAAGTAATTTTATTCATTGTTACGTTTATTAGGTAAAACCTTTAAAAAAAACTTGTTTAAATGGGAAAATCCAAGAGTGTATACCACTTGCTCAGTTGGTAGAGTATCCGTAGTCGGAAGGTCTGTGGTTCGAATCCCGATAGCTGGCTATGGCATTGAGTGTACCGTATATGGATCCTGTCTGAATATATTACTAAATAATTTATCAGACCAGTTGATAATTTCAGTAAAATGGACTACAGATTCCTGTTAGAGATTTTTCTTGAAAATGTCATTTAAGTCATTTGCATCATTTCTTAATAATAAACAACTATTTGGTATTATCTGACATTTTGTGAAAAAAGAATTGAAGATCAAGTAATTAGTGCTAGAATTAATATCACTGACAAAATGTAGAAA